AAAAGGTAGATTGCGCTCAATTGACTGTTTTAGTTTACAGTGATTTACAAAATGAACCACTAAATATGTGTCGTGGGCACACGAACTTTTTCAGTTTGCAATCTCTAGAATAGCATTTGTAATCTGCCGCGGGTCGCCTAATAGTCAGGCGGAATCGAGCCCTAACATTGTTTTGGGACATAAAGTTTTTTTTATTGTTTAGATATATGACATATATAATGATACCCAGGTGGGTGTGGAGTATATAATGTTGAGCAATTGTTTTTAAGTGGATATAAAGTATTCGGTCCAAGATGACGCACATCCTGAACCCTCACCTGGTAAACATACAATGTTCAGGTTGTGCGCCGGTATAGTACGAATACTTCAGGAGCGCCTTTTTGTTAAAAACTACATGGTTTAGTTTTGCTTACATAGTAACATTGAATCTCCTTACAATGTCAGAAATTCAATTTTAGTAAAATAAATGGTAGTTTATTTCACTAATACAAGCCAAGATCCATCGACAGCATCTAGCCACTTTCTATTGAACTTTTCAAACTACATTTGCGTTGCCGCGCGCATTTCGTTTTCCTAGTTTAAAAGCTTAGGTACTTGGGAAATATTTTATTAGTTGAACTGGATTGGAATATTTGACCTCGTCTTTCACTCGGAACAAGGCCATGTAAAACCATCCACTGGTATCTAAAGATGTGTAACGTTTTTTCCTTTGGAAGAATGCAACCTTTCAGTGCTGCATTGACTTTGGCAAAATTAATATATCCTTGTGGAGATAGAAGGTATGCGTATGCGAAACCGAGGTGTGCACCTGTTATGCCAACATAGTTGAGTCAAACGTTTGGAATACCAGTAAAATCAAGATGGTCAACTTATGGCTAAAAAGTAATAAATTATCATTAAACCTCTCAAAAACTAAGTTCATGGTTTTTGGTTCCAGGCAAACTAATTGGCAGTTCCATCTCCAAATTAACAATAAAAGGATAGAAAGAACAAAATGTATCAAGTATTTGGGTATAATCCTAGATGAGAACTTGTCATGGAAACCTCATATTGATCACTTATATAAAAAAGTTTCACAATCACTCGGAATATTGTATAAGTCACGTAGAATTCTCGGTATCGATGCATTAAAAATTGTATACTATAGTCTCATATACTCTCATCTGAAATATGGCATTATAAGTTGGGGAGGAACTAATAAAACTACGCTAAAACCACTAGTAATTCTACATAACAAAGCAATTCGCTGCATGCTATCTGCAGAATCACAGCATGTTTATAACTCACTCTTATGCAAGCAGTGTGGAGTATTACAACTGAAAGATATCTATCTTTCTGAAATTGCCAAATTTATGTATCGCTTCGAAAATCATATGCTACCCCCTATATTTCATAACTTTTTTACAAAAATTTCAACCATCCATAGCCATGCCACAAGGAGTGTTACAAAAGGGACTTATTTCATGCCTAGATGTTCTTTTTCATTAACAAAAAAAAAACGCTCAAAACAGAAGGCATTCTAATTTGGGAAAAAATTCCGTCTAATATTAAAGAAAACTCACTTGCAACATTCAGTAAGCGATTAAAAATTCATCTACTTGATGATGATGGATAGATGAAAAAAGACGACTATGTTTATTACCTTACGTATTCAAGTCATATTATTATCGTATTGCTGCTATGTCCATGCTCTATAATTTTTGCCCAAATCTCAAATCACGTTGATAACAATTTTCCTCATATAATAACAAATTCTGCAACTAGTGCCCAATTAGGAAAACAGCCCTCTAACATTCAAATTATAAAAAGAAATAAAAAATTATAAAAGTGTGGTGATGGGTACAATCTTTTCCACTCTGTTCAGATGGGAATGCGCGAATATATATACGAATTCCTAATATTGGTTTGCAATGCGATGAAATCCCATCTTGGCATTTCTGCCTCTCGCAATTGCTGCGTATACTTATCGGGGAAGTTCTGTGGCGTGGTTATCAAATAAAAAAAAACATGGGAGTATTTTTCCTACTTCTCTACTACATTCAAATCTTGACATTTTGTGAAAACTTTTTTCCATGCAACTTTTTTTCAAAACATCCCCAACAACCCAAATTAATTCTGTTATTAAACTTCCGAAACAAACACATAAAATTATCAGCAGATGCATATCACCAAGTAGATATTGCTGAATTAATCTTTATTTTACCATTTTTTATGTAATTCTTTTTGATGACTGAAAAAAAGATCGAATGGATGATTTGTAACAAGCTAACAATCAATTAAAATAAGTCTAAGATTATACACATATGCCCTAAAAAAATATCACAAGGGATGCCAATATCGATCAACATTGATGGCACAAAGTTAGAATCTGTCCCTTCCTACAGTTATCTGGGACTAAACATATACAACTGTTCACGCTGGGATGTCAATGTTAATGATATTCGTAAAAGAAATTCTCGTACTGTAAGTATGCTGATTAAACTACAACATTATTTTGACAAAGCTACTCTCAAAATGGTATATTTCTCACTTTTTCAATCATATATCCAATATATAGTTAAATCATGGGGGTCTGCATCTCTATCAATTTGCATAAAGTTGAAGTGCTTTAGAACAGAGCGTCAAAATCCTCTATCGGCCTTCTTCTCGTTTGAATCTAAAAACTATATACAACAAAACCAATATTCTGAAGCTTGCAGATATTTACAAATTAGATGTCAGTAATCTAATGCACAAATTCCATAGTCATTGTTTACCGACTGCAGTTGATGGCAACTTTACAAGACAAAATAATATCCACACGCACAATACAAGGTCAGGTTCCACACATTCTTTCTATTTACCCCGTTTGTCACATTCCAAAACCCAAAATTGCTTTAGATATAAAGACATAAAACGTGGGATTACGTACAAAGTGAAATAAAAAGCATGCCTATCCAGCTCTTCAAAGCAATGTTGAAAAAACATTTATTGTCGCAATATCTATCTTAACATGGGATTTATTTATATGATAACCCTTGTCACTAATCACCATTTCCAATGATCTTACAGCCCAAAATGTAATAATTGCATAGCTCTGATTAAACTGTTGTCAGTGACCTTCTGAACCTACGCACTTCTTCCTTCATAAAGTGTCTAAATAGTGGTGAAATGACTCCTAAAAATGATGTGTCTTATCATTGTATTTTCATTATTATTATATGTGGAATTTTCATTACCAGTGTTCTGAGATCAGTTATTTTTTGCTTAATCGATGTGATGATTGTTCCTTTCAGCATTTCTATTTATGTTAAGAAATTTGTCTTTATTAATTTTTATCCAATATTTACATTTGAAATTCTAGCCATTTAGTTTTTGACATGAAAATAATGGCATTATATATGTTGTCGATCTGATTAGATGACAATAGACTTGAAAACGCTTTCCTTTCAATTATTAATTATATGGGTAACTGTAAATATGTAAATCCTATCCTATCTTCACCAGCACAAGCCACGTTACCATGCCGGTTACGTTCGCAGCAGTATTTATTATTATAAACCTAGGTGTGTTAATTTCAATTGATTCATTGTACCTCATGTTCTTTATCATGTATTCCATTAGTTCTCAATGTCCAACACTTCACCATTGCAACCGTGTGGCTATACCTACTGTCTGACCGTGGTCACCTTCAAAAAGTTCCCAAACTATTATCAAGCAAGGTCGCTGAAGTGGGGAATACCTTGACAATCTCGTGCTCTTATGGCTCTCTAGTATAATCTCAAATATTTGTTTATTCCTAAATATATCAGCTGATTAATTACCTGTTCAAAAACTATACTCTCGACAAAAACAGTAGTTACAAAACTAAACGTCCTTTTTAATTAGATATTAGATCCTTGAGTGTCGCTGGTCGATAACCAGGTTTGGTTCCTCGCGGCTTCCCTTGCTCAGTTGAAATATGTGAATATCTTTTTCTTCGTATTTTGTAAAAAACTGACTTTATTTCTGATTGGAAAAAATAAACTTGACTTGACTTGCATTTTGATATCAATGTAAATGCCTAGATATTAATAGAAATTAATATTTTTAATAACGGTTCTCCCTGTTTCAATTTTTAAATCAGAGTTTTTTTTTAATTGGTGTTATCAGCATATTTCTTGATTTATCAACATTTAAAGATTAAATTTAGTTTTTTGAGTTTCCTTCAATTTGCTACCTTTTCGATTAAAATGTTTGCTCTTGATTGTATTACGTCATTTTCACTATCAACAACTTGCATAATTAGCGAACAATTTAAAAAAATAATGTAGTGCTACGAGCAAGGTCATCGACAAAAAATAAAAGATAAGGTCGGTCCCAATCAAGATCCTTGTAGGACTCCGTGAGTTACAGGTAAGGCAGAAGAACAATATAAGTCCATTTGTACGTATTCTGATCTACTGGCCTAGTAATCGGCAAGAAGTTGGTTTACCACATCGTTTAGATTTAGAAGAAATAAACAAATACCACGATATGCTGACGAAAACAGGCCGATCGCGCTTAGCGTGTTGGCTACCCCTGGTATATTCGAACCCATATTAAAACATTTGACTTAAAAATACCCATGTGTAAGAACATATTATTTATATATATATATATATATATATATATATATCAATATGCGTCGATTGAAAAGTTTTTTTTATTTTATCATTATTGTGATCGCGATCCTAAAGACCGACTTGTCTGGTAAACGCTGCATCTTTCTCATTCCAGCTTCGCGCCTTCACACTAAATCTAGGTAGCTGTTAATTTTATAATGCTCAACGTCAGGACATTCACAACGAGTTACATGTGGCCATATCAAGCTATTTGTATATTTAGGTATATATATTACTTGATATTGTTTATTTGATCTGAGTTACATGTGGCCATATCAAGCTATTTGTATATTTATGTATATATATTACTTGATATTGTTTACTTGATCTGATGTCTAAACTCTGCATTGACAAACTAGACAGAAATAAATCAAGCGGTAGAATTGCATGGTCAATTTTATTCGTTATCTCGAATCATAATAATCTTCTCATATATATATATAGGGTGGCCCAAAAGTAGGTGTATACAGTTATTAAACTATTTTATGATTTGTGAAGCTACTTGCAGTTCACTTTATGTTACTTGTTAAGTACCACAAAAACTGCTTATTTTTTTTTGATAGTAAATCTAGTGTGAATTTTACATTAGTTTTCTAGCTGCTTGGAAGGTAATACATGAAGATGGAAATTTGTGCCGTACTGTGTGTCAGAGTGTTTTGGACAGGTGTGAAGAATGTTGCAATGTTGGAGGAGGACATTTTGAGCACTTAAGTAATTAAACAGTTTCTATGTCTACGATATAGCTAGCATTCTTTGAACTTTAAAAGTGCCTAAATGAGAACTACAAACCTACTTTTGGACCTAAACCCTACTTTTGATAACTGTATACCTACTTTTGGGTAAACTTCTAATCGTGGAATTCTCTATTCCAGTATAAGAAAATCAAAATCTAATATCATGTATTCTCAAAACCTGCTCCACGTATACGTGCAATGTAAACGTATATATATATATATATGAAATGAGAAATTTGATTATCACAGATATGTGCGATCTCAAGGGCAAATCCCAGCAAATCACATCTGCGTATCAATAAGTAGAAATCCTTGGTTTTATTTGTCCGTACTAAAAACTTTATGAGTGAACGTTGTTGAAATGTTGTAAGTAACAAAAATGCAAGAAAATCATTGAATTGCTGATATATACTTGAGATAACAGAGGGATTTAATACTCAGGCACATTGAACGCGTTGTCCCGTACGTTCATCAATCCAATATGCCATACATGATCCACATCTTGTTACGCGACATTTTGCGTGGGGATTCCCGTGACACACCAATGGTCTTCCATAGATGTCAGAACAACTGTTGGCAAAACAAGTCCTGTATTCTTGCACACCTCTGTCGCACTGACCTATAATAAAAATAATTACTGTTGTTCTCTCTTGTCATAACAATTGAAACTATGATCTATTAAGTTGCAATAAAACGGACGCGCATAAGAAATTTCAAGGTCGAGGTTCTTCAAATGTCAATTAGAGATAAGACATTTATCATTTTACCATACCACGATGAAAAGCATTTGTACTCTTTTGAGTTTTCTATTATTTTCAGAGAAAATCTGAATCAATAATTTTTGATGGTAACATGAGAAATTGTTGAATATATAGTTTTCAATTTTACTTACAATACTGTGTAATCAGCTGATTGGTATACTGGTCATAAAAATGGATATCACATCGTCCCCAGATCGGTTGACATCTTGCGCCAACATTTTTGGGACAAACTAGTTGACTGCATAGGTTCGATGGACAATAAGGTGCACGTGGTGCTGGAACTATGGGAGATTGACGCCCACGGTTTGATAGGGCAAGAGCAATCAAAAGCGGATTCAATGGCGCGCGGGTAGGTGAATCTGTGAAAAATATTTAACAAAATATTTCAGTAAATTTTGAGTTAGTAACAAAACGATAAAATTAATTTATATTTGATAATGTAAAGTAAAATTAATTAATACTAAAACGGGATTTAGTTTTTCTGTTCCGACTCCAACATAGAAAATAGATATAACCCTTAAGCAAGATAACTAATAATATTGAAAATTATATTCACAGAGTGTCTATTTTATACAAACGTAGAAGATATATGTGAATTCTAAATCACTTATATGCTTTATAATTCCGTCTTCACTTTAAACAAAACATGAATTATATTTCTTTTACACAACGTTTTCACCTGGGTCTACGCATTTAGTTCCGCATCCTGTTGAACAGCAGATTTTGGAATCTTCGCAATCTTCATTTTTTGTACATGTCGGTGGATCCTCGAATTCGACACAGGTATCGCCAGTGACTTCAGGAAACTCGCATTTTTCATCGAAATCGGATATTGCTAGATTTATTATTAGAATATTTAATAGTATAATAAAATAGTATAAAAGTTTTCTATTTCTTTCTATAGATCGGGGGTTCTCAATCTGGGGTTCGCGAACCCCCAGGGGTTCACGAGAAGATTTCCAGGGGTACTTGGACGGCAGTCGAGTTTTTGTGTGTCGCTGTTTTTTAATATCTTTTAATACTATCAGAGGAAAATGCGTGCCGATTAAAACGTAGATTTTCCCTGATGTGTTTCGTTGTTGTAATTGTGACCCACCAAAGCGAAATTCACGGCTTTCGGTGTCTGGTTACCGGGGGTTCGCGTTGGTTGTTTCGTGACTCGGGGGTACTTGACAAGAAAAAGGTTGAAACTCCTGCAGTATAGATGAACAGTTTACTATTTCTAGTTGCCACAGTTTTTTCACAATTATTAATATTTTTTATTATACATATATAAAAAAATTGACAAGATTGAGGCTTTTATTACGAAGTTTACTCTTGTATATAAAATATCTGGCCCATAATAAAACACAATTTATACTTTGGTTTTGCCCTACTCCCAAAAAAATTAAGGTTTAACCTATACTCAACAGTCAGCCATGCATTACCTATTTCCCAAAATTGCTGCACAAATGTACTTACAAAAATAAAATGAATGTAACAAATAAATTAAATAACCAATAAAATTAGGTGCTTATTCAAAAACCGCCATTAATAAAAAGTAGTGCTATGTGAGTTATCTATCACTTCGATGATGAGAGTTATTATTGAAACACAAAATTAACTTATTTACAACGCTCAGGTTTTGGGAAAATTTAGAGTCTCCAACTGTTGAAATTAAAATAAGGCTTTTTATACGGCGTTTGTTTACGCTATTTCCCCCGAAAAAAACACGTATAATAATCCACTGATGTCCAACAATATGTGAGGAGAGGCTATTTATATTTTCCGTCTGGCATTGCCTTTCAAACTTATTACACCCTGCTGGTATAGGTGCTTGGCATGGGATTTGCACTCGAGATGCCTAAGCTTCGATGCCAATATGAGATTGTGAAAAGTACAAAAATCCATCGCCAGTTTTTAAGATCTCTAATAGGAATTTGCAACTTCCTGCGAAAGAAAGTTTGATTTTTTGTGTATAAGAAGATGACCATAAAGTGTTTAGTAGAATGTTACATGGACGCACCACATCTAAATATACAGCATCACGTGTTCATAAAGCGCATATTTTAGGTAAACATATCTATTAATTAACTTGGTGCTTTGCTCAATTATGTTCATTTACTTATAATTGCATACTTTGGCGATCTCAATAAAACATTTGTTACCCCATGATTGCAACAATGATGTTTCTCAATCGTATAATGTGCCAGCGCGAACATACTGCTCACCTGTTTCACACATGGAACCGCCGTACCCCAGGGGGCATAAGCAACTGAAACCATCGGTAGAGTCGTCGTTTATGCATAGTTTATTCTGGTCCGTGCATGTTTTTAGTTCTTCGGCATTATCACAGCCTGATTATATTAAAATATAAATAGTTTAAAAAAAACGTTCAAGTGTTAAAACTCACATTTGTCATCTTCCAGCCTTATTTAGTGAGACTATACATACTTTATTTTATTTCAGATTATCATACGTTGGTACGTCTAGTTTCAATGTTATAAAATCTTACCTATTGGTAAACATGTGCTCGAACAGGCGTCCGGTGATGGACAGCATATGTGTCTCGTGGGACATTCATCATTGCCAAAGCATTTGTCAAAGTTTGCTTGTTCACAAACGTCAATGATATCACTCGGAAATGGACATCGTTGATCTGCAGTGGCTGTGTAAAATAATACACGACATGAAATCGGTTTTCGGAGAGGATTTTCACAAATATCGTTTAAATGCATATCTATTATAAATTTTTCTTACTGTACATATCTTCAAAATATTGAGCGGCAGCATTGCGATCGAGGGGAATAAGTGTTGCATGAGAAGCTCTGATTTGAGTAATTCGCATAAAAACGAATTGAAACTTGATATAATTGACACTTTACCACACATTTTTATGTCCACAGATTGTCTTCTGGAGTAGTGATTCTATTTATACTGCCGCAATCGCAGATTAAATTGATCACAATTAAATCAATAAAATCACCTGTTTTAAATATGCTCCTATCGGTTATGGATTGAATAGAAAAATCATTACATATCCGTTGAAAATATAGGATCTTTCAACGAGTATTTTTGTTGTATATACTTTATTTTAATGTCCTTCATTATTGTACTTTTTGGGATTTTATAGCAGATCTAGGGATTTTTTATACCAGCGAGAACAAATTTGCGTATGTATCAAAACTAAATATAATCAAGTAGTTTACCTCACATTATTATGTCCGCAGATTGCCGTGTTATTTTAGATAAGTAATGCGTTTATTTGGTAGTGAGTCGACGCAAATGCGAGTTATGTTGAACACAATTAAATTGAAATTGAAAGACAGTTCGAATACCGGTAGTTGGTATGGATTGAATATTACGACATAAAAGTCACTATAGGATATTTTAAAACGTATGCGCAATTTTGACGACCGTTTCAGAAGCTGTTGCATGTAAATTTCCGATTTTTATGCCCCTCCCCTTCCTTTTTTTGAATCCCGTGCCTTGTTATCACGTCAACGAAACTGACAACAACATTTAGGCCTAAAACGGGCTCCTTTTATCTGTCGGGTTGGTTTATTCGCCGGGAAATACGGTATATGCTTTTTCGAAGGTAAATGGTAACGTTTTTCAATAGTTCCAATACTCACGGTCCATGCAATCATCTCCTTCGAATCCAAGCGCGCACATACAGACGAAGTATTCCTCTACTTTATAACATCCTTGTTTTGGTTTGCAATCAGCTTTTGTTGTACACTTTAGTTCTGAAATTATAAAAATTCGAATATTCGGCATGAATATTTGGCCATGAATTGCTGCGTAAGAACCCACCAAATAAATGTTTTTTTTGATAAAAATGAACCAAAAGCATTGCTTATAAATACACATCTAGCATTCAACTTATCTGTAAAGATAGCAATATGTTGAATTTTCTGTATGTCTCTTTCTGTGAGTTTAAATAATTCTGTGATTGAAAAAAAATTAAAAATGAAACACAGCTGCCAACAAACGCAAATTCTTTAAGAAAATGTGACGTTGTTTTGAATCGTCTCATTTTGTTGACCCACCCCCCACATTGTTTTATTTCAATTTGTCACTCGAATTATTCTAGTTGGTTCTAGTTAATTTGATTGGCATCTGTTTTTTGTAAAAAAAATGTTCTACTGAAATTGAATAAATATTTAAATATTCGACAATTCTATTTAATTCATAGTTATTGATACACTTTGTACGGGATGATCTTTGTTTATAAATAGAGATTGTGCAATTATGATAACGTAACGCTGACAGGCACTGATTTTCGGAAGATATTATCTAAATATTTCCGTGTTGGTCTGTACCGTTCGTTTTGTCCTTCTTCATTCATCATTTGGTATGTGCTTGAGGCGATGATCGTTTATTTTAACATTAAATTTGGTAACATTCTATACCTTTTTACTTTATTTAAAAAATAAAGAATTGCAAAATCTCGTCGAGAAAATGTAATAAATTGTTAAGCAAATTCCTTAAAATTAAACATAATTCATGTTGTGTGCAACTTTACCAATTAAACTGTAAAAAATTCAATGTCTCTAAAATTCGTATTTTTTTGGAAACTTGACTAAAATAAAAAAAAAGCTCAGTTATTGTGTCCAATACACTTCCCATACTACTTGGTAATGGGTGATCATTCGTATGATTACGAGGAAATTGTTAGAACAGTCTAAAGAATTGTTCACGAAACAAAGCGTTACTAACCTGGATTAGTTGTACACTTCCTCCCGCATCCAGATGAGCAACAAATACCGAATTCTCCGCACCCACTTCCACATTCGTCTGGAATATCCGAGTCATCGCAAGTATTCTCTGGTTTATCTGGTATCTCACACTTTTCGTCAATGAGGCTGGTATCCGCTGTAAAATGGTGAATATTTTAAACTTTTGCTTTCAAAAATCAAAGTTCAATAAAATTATATGTCGTTTTTAATGCTTATGAATTGATAACAAATCAAGTTATTTGCGGATTTAATTGAGCGTACATGCATAAGTATGTGTGTATTTTTCAACACAAAGCATGATTCAACTCGTCTATTTTCTATTGTTGATATTGTAAATTCATTTCAGGTTAAATAATTTGTATTTCACTGAATGCTATTTTGTGGTTAACAACATGACGTTATACAAAATAGGATAAGTTGAAAAAGTAAAACACTAAGGCTAATTAAATTTTTGTTTGAAAATTCAAGTGATAAAACGAACATTGTAGAACACGAGATATATAAGATCATAATATAATTCTTATTCTTAGAATTTGATATTGTGTAAATGCATTGCGTTGGATTCGAATTTTTCTTTTTATTAATTTTCCTTACCGTTGTCAACAAATCGTATTAAATCGAAAATTGTTACCAATTTAACCATTGAACAAAATTGCATATAACAAACAAATATTCCTTACGTTCTTCGCAGTTGTCACCCATAAAGCCATACGGACAATAACAATTGAGAGTATCGTCGTTGCTACTGTAGCAAATTTCATTATCAGCTGCACACTCCCCTCCTGAGCATGATGCTCCTACATGTAGAAAAAATGAAATTGAGATTGATATAAAGTACAGAGAAAATTTGTCTTTATTTTCATGGTTAGAGTTTGTATAACTCAATCAAAAATCAAAATAATATTCAAACTAATCAAGTTATAGACCAAATCACTACTTGAAATGATAATAATTAGGTAAATAATACTGCTCCATTTTGTTTTGAAAATCAAATAAATCTTTACATAAAAAAGAGTGGGACTTGTATTTTTGTTCAGTTGGGGTAGATCTTCAATAAATAAAATAGTATACAACACAGGATTAAAAAAAATATTGATTTTATCTGCAAAGTATTGTCTGAATCAAGAATGCTTTATTTCCAAAGACATGATACTCAAGTGAACATGATATAGTGCCATGGAAAATTATCAAAATTAGGTCGAACTGAGATAAAAAATTTGCCATAACAAACTGGTTTACGTTTGATGGTCCTTCTAATATAAGCAAAGAGTGTCCCATTCACTGATTACGGAATACATAGAGCAATAAATTTCATTATTTGGAAAAAGAGCTAGACTAAAAAAGACTAAAATTTCAGCATTTGCTATTTTCAAACATTAAATCACCAACCTGAACCAGATAATCCGTTCTCACCAACGGCTAATGGCAATAGGACTAATATACAGAAATACTTGTCCATGGTCATGATATTTGCAAGGATCAGAACTGCGCTAATATATCGATTGGTATGAACCGTTTGAACGCGAACTTTTATGCGAGAACAATTAGCCCTCTGGTCAATGCAGTGAATTAAATTTCCAGTTTGATGAACCTCTTGAAAAAGCCCCCGGGCTTCAGCCTACCTTTTCTATTAATAAATCCGGCCTTGACCACTGTGCTCTTTTAATAACATATTTGTAAATTAATGGCAATACAGAGGTTTATTTGCATGGCGTTCATTTTGAACATCAAATATGTGTATGCACAAATTAAAATTTATAATAAAAAAAAATTAGAATTATTCACCGTTTTGAATAATAAAAAATTAACGATTATCCACGCTTACGGCCGTGATTTTATTAACCTAATGACCCCTGGTGTTCCTGGGTCATTTTGACACCCTTCTATAATTTTTTTAATATTTCACCAACCAAAAATGCCAAAGACACCATTAATGTGTCCCTGAAAAGCTTATTTTCGTCGCTTTCCACTAAAACGCGCCCACATTACGTAGCGTAAATGCGTCCGACCATATGCCAGTAAGAAGAGAGAAAATTCAAAAAATTTCGAGAAAAAGTTTCTCACTTTTAACGCTGTGGTCGACACGTGATTGATATGCGAGAGAAAGAGTTCTCTTTTAGAGGAGCTATACGTCACCTTCAAGATAAAACAAGACTGGGATTTGTAAGTGAAGTGATATTCGTTTTATCGAAGAGCATTTGATCGCGTGCTGTCTGGTATCTTTGTTTGTTTATTATGAGCCGAAGAACGTTGCTCGCGCGTTCAAAATACTTCGTTTTCAACTAACAATAGATTATTTGGTTATTTTTAAGCTTTGAAATACTCATACAAATAAAATTGACCTTGTTGCAAAATAAAAATTATACATAAAAAAAATATGATGACATCACCGTAATTAAGAACACTCGGATCAAGCATGGGTAATTTAAACTCAAACATTTTGAGTTTTGAAATTGGTTTTGTTCACATGCAGACCACTATGAAATACTATTGACCCCCCAAAATACATTTAATTTAGCCATAAACCCAAATTATGACACAGATCAGCCATTTATGGCAGGGCCGAAACCCTAGGGCGATTTACTGAGTAGAATTTTCAGTGAAGAAATTTTATGGCGAAATATATTAAAACAGTGGAATAAATGAATTTGTCTCATTTTGAAAACCCCATACTCTGGTACCATGACGTTTAATTACAGCCTTGAGTTTTCTAATTACTATCTAATCTAATTGCTTGATTATCGCAGTGGTGGGGGTATTCATTTCTGAGTGGGCCGGTTCCAGATAATAGACTTGCTTACTGGGCCGCAGGCTCAATATGAAACTATAAATAAAAGCAGTTTATTAACCAAAAAACAGCGTACCAGCTGATGTACATCTAATATACCAAGGGGTACAATGGTAAATGGAACTGATGTAGCCTAATACAAGCGTCCAAACCTAGGGATTTGTTAAAAAAGAATTGTTTTTAAACAGGCTGCCGTTGTTTTTTAGATCATTAGTGCTTTCATTTTACCGCAAGTGACGCAAAGACGAGTTACGATGAATACAATTAAATTAATATCGCAAGACATAACAAATGCCCGTATCGGCCATAGATTGAATATCTTACGCAAAAAAATCATCATCCCCTGAAAAGTCTATTTTAAAAGCCATTTTGACGAGTTGCGCAATAACGGCGCCTGTTTTTATAAGCCGTTGCATGGGAATTTTTGGACCCCCCTTTTTTTGAATAATTCCTGGATATGCCCCCGTAGAAACTGCTCGTGCTGATTTCTGAGAGCGCTCGTAGGTTTGAATAGGTTAGAGGATATCTGTTTTTTCTTTTGTCAATCTTCATACTTCGGAATAATAATTAGAATGGGTGAGTTTGAGGTATATGTGGGCTCGTTTTGCACATTATATTCAAGTGTGGATAATGCGTGATGTTTTACGGTACTTATTTCAGCCAACGATTCCTTAGTTTCGTCGATATTTACAAGAGAAATTTATATCCATAAAAAAAATATATAGTCTTAATTTCAGCAGGCACAATTGGGCCGGATGAATCACTTCAACGGACCGGATCCGGCCCGGGGGCCGTAATTTGCCCACTCCTGGATTAGCGCATACGTTTGTTGGCTTTCGAAATTTCGTATTCCACGCAATTAAATTTTTTATGGCGCCATAATACATTTAACATAAATGCGAAAGGCCTATAATGACGGCAAAATATAACATTGTTTAAGAGGGGACTCACAAATGGCGTAGCTCAGGGCTAATTCTAGTATCTAGGATGAAGGGTGCTGTCCCCATCGTATTGAGTTTGTGACACCGACGAGTCATTATTTTGTCACCATATGCATGTCCTATTTAGGACATGCATGTATTCGTGGGGAATTATAACTGTAAACGTAGTCGTGTCTTTTTTCATTTTCCTATTTTGCTATCGTAGCAATGTCCTTTAGAGTAGAATATAATTTTCTGTCGTTCTGTACAGCTTACACTTACGGTCCATCGAATCTTCATTTCGGCCCTAAATGTGCACATGTAAAGGTTTCGTGCACATCTAAGTCATATTTGTAATGTGCAATTATCTATTTCGGAAATCGGTTAATTAGTGGTAAAGTTTAAAAAACAGAGGATGGTAGGTAGAACTAAACGCCTAAATTTTATTACAAGGAAATAACATATAAATTGAGGACATATATTCAAGTGTTTGTTAAACCGTAATAAAATATTCTGTGTGCTTATATTTAAAATAACAGCCTATAATTTTTTACAGCTATATGATTAACAATTAGTAATGTATTTCAAAAGCCCTCGGTTCGGTGGATATATGTGATAACCGATTTTATGTCACGGTACAGAATATCCGATAAAAAATCGTAAACGTCCATTTAAATTTACTGTTCATTTATGTTATGACTGTGAAAATTCCTTTGTAAAATATTTTAGAGTTATGAAAGATTTTGTAACAGCAAACAAAGTATCTTCATTCTCCTTTCTCAAATAATTGTATACCAAATAAATCCACCGTTCCAGATTACAGCCTATTAAAATATTTACATTATGTTCAGGATATAGCGTATGCCTGGGGATATCACTTATTTTCAATGACGGAAGGTTGTGCAAAGTGTCTTGTGCAATGTTTTGTCTTTAACAATTTCGTTTTCAATTTTAATTTGAAGCAGCAATTATAAAAAGAATGATATACAAGTCACGTAGAATGAAAAAATAAAAAAATAATTTGGAAATGGAACACAAAAAAACTATATAGAACGAATGGGTGAACCCTAAAATAGATGAAGATCATTGCTAATGTCACGCTATAAAAAAAAACTGTAATTGTTGTCGTTGTATTCAATGTCAACAATTACAGATTTAAAATATGAGGCTAACTCTAAAATTCACAAAATCAATAGCCGTGCAAGAATTCTTACGGGGATAATTCTATTGCAAATAATAATTGGCCCAATGGCTTTCTCTGACTCATTACGACCATAGCTTGACGGCACGTGATATGATTTTGGTGCAATAGATTGTAGATTTATTTACGCAAATATTTGTATATTTCAATAACTTAAACACTGCCAAATATATGAGCGCAGTAAATTTGTATTTTTATATCATAGAGTGGGCATGTTGAATTTTGATTTTCATAATGAACATCTTTAATGTAAATTCTTTACACACATATTCGCTTTAAAATAAATTCGATTTTTCGTACCGTATTGATTTCAAATTATTATCACTTGGTTTATTTTATGGGAACCGCTTTCAACATAATAATTTCGTTAGAGTTAAACAAGTCCACCATGTTTTCCATAAACCCGAAGCTCAGCCACGAATAAGTCCTTGCTGCATCGACATGAACTGCTACGATGATGACTCGTAATTTTGGATCGAATTATCAGACAAAAGAGCTGTGCTCAAATATATGGACACGTCACAAGGTGTCGCTATTTTTTATTCTGACACATAAAAAACGAATCTCTTGAAGTCCACAGAAATTTTTTAGCCTTCTGGTAAAAAAAACAATCTTTAACCACTCAAAATTTCAAAGCAATTGGTCCAATATTCGAAGAGAAAATCGATTTCATCATGACGAAAGAAACGAGTAATACCAACAAGGACAACAACATAATATTGGAACGATCGTTATGTCCACTGACTTGTCCAATAACAGGCTCAAGTGTAGATCGCTACGGCTACCTACTGGTAGGTATTTGTTTAAGTAAAATTGCACATCAAGTTTCAAGGCTGCCTTTGCTCATAAGAACATTGTTGTTAAATAAAGTTTTTTTTTACTTGTTCGGTTCAAAATGGCTGTATATATTATTTGATTTTTAGGGGTTAAATAGGTTGAAACTAAAACAAGAAAATGGATGGAAAATCTTGCTAATTGCTTCTTATTCGCAATAAACGTCACAAATATCTATGACGTGCCCATACACGCCTTCTTCAAGCTACAGCGCAATGCGTTCGCAAACTTGGTTGGCGTAGGAAGACGCAACCGATAAGCCATTCCGTGAACCATCTCGCGGCGGCGAGAAGTCCAGCAATCCTTGCACATTGTCCCATCAATCATGGGATTTGAAACAGTGCCTCGAATCCAAAATGAATCCGGCTCTGATTCAAACCTGTGTAGATTTCCCCCCAATCCAAGTATATTCTCCATTCTTGTATTAACGCACTTGCTTTGCGCCAAATTTAGGCGGTGAGAGGGCCCCTGTTACAACTCTTTGGATTGCAGTATAGGCCCGCGATCTATGTTTCATCATTTTTCTGGCATCCGAAATACAAGAAGATAAAGAAGTTCATGATTCCAAATCTAAAATTTTACAGATGGAAAGTTTTCTTGTCTGTAGTTCAATCTTGTATAAAATCAGGTTTACGCTTCATTTATAAGCTATGATGTCGTGATGCTGCAATCGCACACCAAGTCGTTGGGGTCTTCGTCCTTCGGGCTTACCTAGAACAGGGGTCACCCAACTACGGTCCGCGTGCCAGATCCGGTCCGTGGCGTCTTTTCATCTTGCCGCAATAACACGAAATAATGTCGAACTTTTTCCAAGGGATGTTTCCCCGGACATCGTCTTCTTTGTTCATTTTGTAACATTGGCCAATCAGCAAGATGCAAAAAGTGACGTAACAATAGAGCCTTTCAGATCCGCTCAGACACTTTTGTCACTCGGACAGATTTTCGCGATTTTGAATTCTATTCGTTAGTTTTTGGTCGTGATTCCGAAATTTAATGAATAATTTATAAATCAAATAAGTCAATCATCATATTGACCTCTTAGGAGTTGTAGTTTAATTGCAGTAATCAAAAATTTTCTAGAAATAGCTGTGATAAAATAGGATAAAATTCTTCACCGGTACGCAGTGTAGGAGTGCGAAGGATGCACTCGTACACTCATGGCTTGCTTTCGGCGAAACTGCTGCTGTGTTTCTCGTGCTAAAATGAACGTCGGACGTGCATTTTGCGCTAATAGTACAAGTCACGTTAACTTTTGTACTGCTTACACGCGGATATTCATGACAGCACTTGTCTTGCTGACAGCTAACCTCAGGATAGTTGTCTAGAAATCTTGCTTTTGCTGCAATCAGTTCCCGGCCTACAGGTTCATCCACTGCAATTTTTGATGTATACCACCTCCAATTTAACAGTACACATTTCCTAATATTAACTCATATATTCTCTATTTTAATCAAGATGTGTGAGTACTGCATGAACTGTTATTCTCTCTGCGTTTCACGTCAATTTATGTAAATTGACAGCTTATCCTTGAGAAATTATTTAGAATAGTAACTTGTGAAGTAGAGCGCGTCAAGCTTTTCAGCTGCCCAGGGCGAGTTTTGATGATGATGATGATGATGCCCCTTATGCCTAACTTCAAAAATAATTTGGTGGATAAACAAAGACACGAACAAGCCAAATTGCAATATTTAACATTATAGCGATAAAATAGTTGAAAATAAAATATATTATAACTAATATGATCATTGAGATGTCGGTATAGATTTGTTAGGACAGACGCCAGAGGGCGTATAGTTGGATTGAGATTCAATAGATATTATTTGTTAATAACTGTTATACAAATAAACTTCTGGAGCTGGCACGAGCTAGAATCATTGAGATATTTCTGATCAGATTGATCCCACCCTTTGTAATAGTGCTGGTGGTATATATCTCACTATTTTTGTATCTCCAGTCATGCGGTGCTTAAGTTTACAAGCCCCCAGCTATTTTGGTGTTGGTCGGATAGTACTCAGAACAATATAACTCCAACAAACTGTTCGGATAGATGTCCTTAATTATGTGCAAGAGGATTCCTGGACGCCGTCGTAGAGTGGTTCACGTAACCGATGGTCGGTTACGGCTTCTCCACCATCACGTCCATGCATATGAAAACAAATAACCGGATAACTAATCCCATACACAACATGGACTGGTAACCGGACGAGAATCCGTGGTTCTTCATATGAAAAACCCGTATTATCGCCTTTCCTCTCCCACGGGATAAATATGTAAATCCTATTCTATCCTTCGTGAGCGGTGTCTCAAAAATCCACTGCCTCCTGAAAGTGCGCTTGTCCCACTATTCTGCGCAAGGGTATTTGTGGGGAAAATATTTGAAGTGCAGTGCAAGTGTTGGACACATTTTTAAACATTCCTCGGTCATCAAATACAGTGAAATCGAATCGTACCAAAGCAGAGCCCACGTTAATTTATGCATGCCCCAAATCGTATATTGAAAATTCGAATTCTTTTTCACCTCATATTCTTGACAAATGTACATTGCACTATTATCAAAGGGCGACATAATTGCCAAATTATGATAGCATTCTTTTAATTAGCTGAATCCAATCCAAATTTAGTTTGTACATTCAGGATTTTATGATACTCTCCCTTCTCAAACGACACCAGTTTACTTGTCCTCACTCATTGACACAATATCATTTTTTTATTATTTCATTTTTATTTTTGTCGATCAAAAATGGCGACACAATATTTACATTCATAAGGAGATACTAAAATAAAGTAGAACGTAAATAACAGTAGTAGAACTAACGAGAAAAATAAAAAAAATTCGAAAACCGTCATATTGTCCATCAATTATTTGTTAGCAAGAATCAGTTACAGAAAATATTTCAATTACGAACTAGGTTTCTGTTTTTATTTCCCTTATCTATAAAAATACACAAGAACAATTTGATTGATATTTTTTCCGCAATAACGTGAAGTTCTAGAATACACAAATCGATACTACTTTACAAGAATAATGCGTGTTTTGAGGTATTAGTAGTACGGTCGAATATGTGTAAAGTGTAGTGGCATTCACGACGTTCCTAATGCTACGCATTCTTCTCGCGTTACCAAATCTCATTTGAAAACGAGTAGCATACTCTATCTAACCCGGAGTGTATAAATTACATTATACCCGCTTTTAGGAAACATAGCCGCATCATATCCGGAATGTCCAAATTCTTTACTGATTAAAAAAAAATACTTGGATGATAATGACGACTAATGCGATAAACATGTTAATCTTTTCTGTCTTACAGTTTACAATCAAAGACAATTCAATTTACAATTCAATTTCATTTAAGAAAAAGAAGAACTTTTCCATCTGAGTATATTTTTTAAGAATAAATAACAAAGAAAAAAATCACGGACACTGTCACAAATTACCAAGGAAGTACTTCACACGCTTTTAACGTATATTTAGGACGAACCAATTCCACGGTTTCGGGCTGACGCGGATGTAAAAGGCTATAAAGTTAAGAGCGACAGGATTTTGCATTAAGAACAACTATTTCCGTTGGTGACATATAGTTCACGAAACTGAATCAAATATCTATCTAACATTTTATGAATTCCTCACATATTGGGTAAAACGTTCTCTTTATGTCCAATTGACAGTGGTTATTAGTATTTCTGTGAACATCGACAAACATGGCAGAAGTTGATGATATTGCATCATCACAAATGTGCAAATACAGAGAATGAAAGAGGACAAATTAGTGACATATGCTGAAAATAGAGACCAAAATAAATGCAGTACAATTTAAAGCTAGAATTATCTTTAACGATATTTGCCAAATATAGGTAGCAGTTTTAATCATTTCTTCTGTCAGTTGCATAATTGAACCGACTCACAAAAACAATCGAATTATGCTATGTAGATGAAAATATTATATATTGAATCTCCCCCATACCCTGTAGAAATAATTGTACTGTATAGTATTTTGAATAATATAATAGGATGAAACTATTGTTTGATCAGGATAATATTCTAATTTCTTGTAGAAAACAACAATAAAGCGATTTAAAAATATAACGGTAGCGAACAAAAAAGTAAAACGGATATAATGATAAGAAAAAAAAAAGAAAAAATTTGAGCAAAAAAAGAGCATGTTGATTGTACATAAACTTTTTCATATGGGATGGGAAAATAACTTAGTGCACAAATATTATAGATCGTCAAATTCGTTACACGTATTCGTTTTTAACTGTTTCAATATCACGGCAAGGAAGTTAATTTGCGAAAATATGCGAACTTAACATATTTACGGCTACGGAAACTTCAACATGCGAACGTTGCAGACAAAGTCAGTCCACAGTATGAGTACGTTGATTTTAAATCCGCAATGATGTCAATTTTGATACTAGTATGCTGCATTCGCGGTATTGGACTTTGAAACGACTCAATCTGCGACACTATGCAGCAATAATACTGAAGCAATTGTTGACGAGCTACAAATACACAGTGGCGAAAATACGTCAGACAAACAAGATGAGACAGAAATTCTCCATTTTCTTCCACGTAAAATTGTGGATAAATATGAAGTAGAAGCGCTCTGCGCATGCATTTTTGTGTAAATGCGGACGACAAACGTAGTAAAACTGTCCCAGTTCGATGTTTTTCAATTTTTTAACACCGAGTCAACATTAAATAACGCCAAATCATTTTGTAGTGACGACGGTTATCTAAACGCGGAGTGCAGTTACATTTCGGCGCAGTAGCATCGTCTGAGAGCTTTCTCTATCAGTACTAGTTTTTCATCCTTTCTGCCCTTAACGTCATACTAAATGTTCAGCCGTGGTCGGAATGGCATCTGTGACACCAATTTGGTCCAATTTACGTGACAAATTGTTGACGTCGTTGGGTTGTTTTAAATCCTTTTCCCGAAGTTTTCTCAATTCTTTTTGAAGATTCTAAAAAAGCACAACAATGAATAATGACTTGTATAAATAAATGTAGTATATACATCATTATAAAGAGAACAATAGTCAAATGTTAAATCAATTAAATGAAAAACTGATGATTTTCAGATGGACACAGCATTATCACACACGCGAGGAATAAATAAATATCTCTAACGATCACCAGTCACCACCAATGATACATGAAGACGAATAATGATTAAGAATATTATCCGATGTATATTAACAATGACATCACGCAAGAATAAGTATTAAATATAATTTTGCCCGATTGGCAGTACTCTTACTACATGGGTGCTCTAAAAAGCTTACTATCTATTCCTATAGGCAAGCTCCATATTCTCCCATGAAAGAAGTCATTGAAAAGCCGATTGGGAGCATATTATATTAATCTATTTTGCTATATATTAAACAACGTTTGGGTCGTTTTAGTGGAGAAAAAACTATAGTACATACCATGTATTCTTGTTGTTGACGGCTCCATTCCTGCTTTTCGGATCGTAATTTTGCAACTTCGTTTCGCAAATGATCGAGTTCTTTACCGGAATGTTTACGATCTATGCAATTTGTTATATGTGTGCGTTGTTGTTGTTGATAATTTTTACCACTTGTTTGTTTATTCTGATTTTGATCGACAGGATGATTGTTGTTTGTTTCAAAGGTGCCAGTTTTTCCGCTTCGTGGCCAGGAATCGGTGTGAGAGGAAGAGGCCATGCTTTCCTATAATATATTAAGAATTATTTAATGAGAATATTTTCAAAATTAGCACAACTTATAAATAATTAAATCTGAAACTAAAACACCAAGCTACATACAAAACTTCGTGTTACCCAATGAATTAATTTTGAAACGAGAAATTTTGTAGTGAAAATAATAAAGCATATTTGTTGCTATTGATATATGGTTGATTGGAGTAAAGTGTTTCTAACTTCTGTCTCTTTCTCTTTACCTGTGTGTCCGTGGATTCGTATGAAAGAATACTGTAGCATAATCAAAAAGGCATGGCTTTCTCGAGTGGTTAAAAGGACTTGCATCGCGCTTTAACAAACTTTATTCTGCAAAGCAGAAGACTTTTGGGCCAATCTCCCCTTTTAAAAATATATTGGTACAGTAGATATCTTACCAGTCCCGTATCTGAATCTAAACTGTTATAGCTTCCACATGAAGGACATGGTGAATGAGCTCGATTTCGTCTGAAAGTGAACATATATAGATATTAAATAAATTGTGGATATTAAATTAATTTGTACATATGAACATGGTATTGTGACATTTTAGCTACTTTGTGGAGCTCAAGGTAAAAAGAATTAAATTTGGATTCAAAAATAGATATCTATTAATATTATTAATTCCTGAATTAATGAAAAAAGTAAAAAATGATTCCATATTGTGTAAGTGTTCATTACTACTTATATATAATATATACATTATAAAAATACATATTTGAGACAAACCTCTGTCCACTATTGATATAAATAATCACTATACGTAGTAAAAACCATTTATAAATATAAAGAAATAGAGACACAGAGGGACATATATAAATACAGATGAAAATTCAATCTTACCTAGTTTTCTTTGGTGATCCACTCAATGATGGATTACTACCTTGTGTTGATCTATAGTCTAACGTTAAATCAGATACATTCCCACTATCATTGCCATGTTGTAAAGAAGATGATTCCCTGTAAAAAATGAAACAGTATAATTTTTTTATTTTGAAACTATGTTATTCTTGATATACCTCTGAATACTTCTGCATACAAATGCATAGTAGGAAGTAAACAAGGAAGAAGACATTCGGGTCATTTAACAATATCGTATAGTTCACTCACCCTTTCTGTCGTTGTCTATCGTTTTCATCAAAAGTTGCGCTTCTTCCTAGGTTTCCGCCCGGTGATTTGCTTTGTTCATTGTTGACTGATGACTGAAATTATTTTAAATAATATTTAAGAATCAAATTATAACGATTAATATTTTATAAGACAATTATTTTATTCTGTGATATTACTCATATTTTATTTTACCAAGACTTGGAGCCCAACGAGAATAACTGTAAAATATCGGTGAATTTACTGATTTTTAAGAGCTTGTATTCATTCAATTACACATAGTAAATGGAATGATGTTACTCGCATCACAGCAGTCTTAAATGATTTCGCATTTTGATTTACAGAAAAATCCGTGATTTCCTTTTGCGTTCAACATTTCACGCTTTGTGGCGTAACGTAGAGTACACCATCACGAATAAATTTTTAAGTTTCGTTTCTATGCTAATAGGTTTTGGCCAACGATATGATGATATTTAAAAGACGAAATTAAGATCTTCATTAATTGCTTAATGCATTTAATCATTGAAATCTAAAGCATTATATATATATAATATATTACATAACATAAAGACTGATTATTAAATTCATAAGCAGAATATTCTAAATTTGAATAAACCACAAAAAAGAATTATAAAATACCAGTTTTACGGTAGGAAATAGCACTTTTGCGTGATTAACTTGTGGTTTTCTGATATATAATGTTGTGAGGTGAAAAGGAATCAGTAACATGAATAAAGAGCCAAGATAAAATAAAGTAAATAATAATAATAGTGGAAATTACGTAAAAATATATGACTTGCACAAGGTAATATCGTATGAAGATTGGTGGTGACGTTAATAAATGAACGGATTAATTAATATAGAAAACGATACTCACGATGCTTGTCTTTGATTCCGACGATGTTGCACCTAGTTTCCTATTCGACATCAAGGGACTGGCATTTTGTTCGATCGATGGGGCCCGGTTTCTTGTGAACCTCTGAAATTTACAAGTTAATGATTCGTTACAGTTACAATAAATATGAGGTTTAGCTATGGGGCTTTCCTGCACACAGTCGAGACATATTCAAAAAACAAATAACCGTTTAAAAAAATTTCCTTTAATTGTAAAGAAAAAATTAGGCCAATGTGCACCTAACAAACGTTTACCTATTTTTGAGTATTACACATTATTCGGACTATCTACTAAATTTTACGTTTGCTTCATGACTACAGCTGTAATCGATTACCCAATGCGTTTTGTATTAAAATTATATATTTTAGTGAAAAATCCAGAAAATACGGAAACTTCTGAACCGTAGTGGCGAAATGTTCACGTTCCAAAGACTGGAACAGCCTCACAACTTGTTTTCTGATAACTATTTAGAAAAATTACCTTGAATGCATCGAAAAATCCATTATTGCTTCCTTCTTTCACAGTATCAGACGATGCACTACTTAGATTATCTGTGGATACAGATGTTTTCATTCCTAACATTGATTCCGTTGAGTTCTGTATTTCGTCGTACAACTGGTCAAGTAACATGGATCTAGTAGAAAAAGAGTAATAGATTTCATTAACATGAGGTACATATTCGATTCAGAAAAGATGCAACCAAGTCAGTAGTAGAAAAGCATTCCTGTGGAAAACAACAATTCGACCTATATCTAAGATCGGATTCCATAAAACGGTCACACAGTAATGAGCAATGCATTCATATATTAATTAGTAATATGATTTTTGAACATGAATTTAATGAAGTACTTTGAATTCACTATGAAAAGTACAATTACAATATTTACAATTTGGTTACAATACTTACAATAGCTGATCAAAAAATATTCTTATAATGATTCGAGATAAAAACAACAAAATCCTACCTGGTCCTATATTGAAGTTTAGCAAATTGTTCTGATTTGTAACACGCCCATTCTGCGTTCATCATTTTACAATACAACCATTCTCGGAAGGTATCGTCTTTTGCAAAGATTGCAGGTTCAGGAAGCGAGGGTTCGAATTCCGGCACGTCCTCTCGACACGTGACTGACACCTGAAAAAACAACAGGAAGTATATGTGAATTTGACGTAATTATTTCACGATAGAAAAATTGGGGACAATAGTAACAGGTCAGACGTGACAGTTCTTCGTTATAACTTGGAGCAATAATATGTAAGCTAAACTTTTATTGCGAACTAAAGAATATCCACCTTCCTTCCTTGAAATTTTATTATCGACTGTATAATGCTTGGCACGGTCGACTATTATTCAATTATTATCCAAGCGAGAAGCAAAAACTAAACTGGGCATTGCCAATAAAATACAGTTTGCATAAAATATATCAAATTGCAATCACTAGCCTCGTAATAAATATATCCACTGGCATACAAATAGCTCCCTCTATAATGAGATTACTTATTTTAAAGAGTATTATACTACAAACTAGGCTTTTGAGGCAATTGAATCATTTTATTGTTAATAACTATACGCATATCACTTTTAGAAATCTCGAATATATCACACAAAAAATTAATGTTAATAATATCACCGGAAATGGTTTTCTAATTTACGATTTCAAAATGACGTCACGTCCAGGATATCGAAAATGAATAACTCCGGTCTGAAGTATTTAACCGGAAAAGGAACATCCCGCAAAACAATTGTAATGTAATACAAATGTACATGTTTGCATACATAAAAGTGCATTCTCAGAAATGCGTTAATATTGGGCACCCTGTCTAAAAACGGAATAGACTGACGGTGCAATACTTTTACAACGAAAACTTGACGAAACCAGGAAATTATTAGAACACAAAAGAATGTGACAGTATTCATAGAAAAAGTTTTGTATTATCCTATTCAATTGTTTCTATTCTCTACCGTTAACGGTGTATTCAACCAGGTGTATGTATCACCAATGCAAAAAAATTCATTCTAGAATCCTACATAGAATTTCGATATTGTATATTGACTTTATGTATATCTATAAGTACAATCAAAAATAGCAAGTGTTATTCTTTATAAATTTACGAAAGCATTCCCACCTTATATCGGCATTCTGGTGTGCATGGGTCTATGGCTTGAATGATGATATATGCATGTAGAAAATGTGACGTAATCATATTTGGAACAAATGGAGTTTCACCATCTTGAAAAACAATGGCTACAATGTCGTTTCCAATGTGACGTTTTCTTTGAAGCTGAAGAAAAAGGTTTACTGGTTTGAAACACAATAGATAAACGAATATCGCTGATACGAGATGAACGAATAACGTCAATATTCAAATTCAATTATCCAAGTTAATTTAAATCGGTCCCCAATTCACTCTATTCGGCCATGCGTGTAGTATATTTAAAAAGTTGGAAAGATGCTTTACTGCCACACGCATAATTAATAACTATGAATCAGTCTACACTTGGGAATAGGTCGGAAATTTTCCGTGTGTGATTGAATCGATAATTTTGCATTGGTATGAGTTGTAATAGCAAATTCCACTTTGTGATAAATATTACTAATAGCAAAAAAATGGTAAAATAAATGAAATTTACCTGTTGACGATCGCCTTCAATGTACGGTAGCATAGTTGAAACGTGGAACATAACTTCTTTATCTGCGTACTTCCCATATACTGATGTATCGCCTGTGTGACCGTGTTGAACGTCCAAGCCTCCTCGGAAACCCTTGAATCCCTAGAAGTACAGAATGAGGAATTTGAAATTTATCAAAAATTAGCAATTGCTCGTTATGCTGGTCATATAGAAAAGTATGTCTTGCAATTAATTTTCATGTCGAGTTGATATAAATACATTGTTCCGACATAAGATGAATAAAAATTAAACAGTAAAAATGTCGAAATTTATAAATTTCAAAAATCGAGATTCTCCAAACAGATTTGTTTGAATGAAACCAATTTCGAATTTCGTTTAAACTAGATTATATGGATTTATAGTTTATCGGCACAGCGCCCTAGTGACACATTCAACTGAACATTACCGTTTTTTCATTCGCAAAACTATGCTTACTTGAAGGTCGACAATTTCTCCGATGAATTCTAAAAATTCTTTGAAGGCAGGACTTTCCTCTTGATTGCCAAATACTTCCTCTTCTTTGGCTTGGTTTGGTTTTTGATAAAGAATTCCGAATTTGTTAGCAGAGTTGACCGAATGCTCATCGAATTGCAGAATTGAATTCCACGCGGCCGTAGAAACCACCGGATAGAATCTGAAATGAAAACAAGTATATATTGAAATGGTCAATAGAAAATATTATAAAAAATATATATAACATAAAATAAATAAAATATTACTGAATCAACAATATGTTGAAATGTTTCATATCTTATTTCTCTACAACGGTCTCAAAAAGTAACGAGGGGTGATATGTTTCTTGGATAGAAATGTAGAAATGAAACTTTTATAGTTTAGAATAGCCTATTTAATAATTAAGAATAGGGATGTATGGTCCTAGTCATATTCGAACCCTCTCCTCTGTTGAAGGTTATTGGGTGTAACGAGTTCTATTCATATTAACGTTATTATGAATATTCTATTGTTGAGGTAAAAGTAACAATAACAATTGAATAACGGATAGGTTAAGAGTTTACGTTACTATATTCTACGAAATCCACACTTGAATCGAGTAAACGTGCAAAGCAACGTGCTATCTATCGTGCAGTTTATTATTACCTTCCTGATGGCAACTAATTTCCTCGCCAATTTAAGTTGAACTCTGTGTTACTTAAGGCGTTAGTTTACTAATAGAACGTTTTTTTTTTTATATACATTAGTGTTAATGTTAACGTGAAGTAAGACTGTCGAAGTACTGAAATGTAGCAATGTCTAAAATTTCAAAATGTGGTTCAATTTCAATTTTTATTTTTATTTTACTACGGCCAATAGACGCAGGAATTCCATCATTCAAAATTATCGACGCGCAGATTTGGTAACTTGACGGATGACATTCTCTTGTATGAAATTATGGCATTTGGGAAAGAAAATGGATGATGAAATACACCAGAACAAAATTAGAACGACAAACTCGAAAGCAACAGTCAGTATAAAAGTCTAAAGAAGAAGTGTTTCCGCCAAAACTATCGGGTAAAATCGAATATGCCCACGTCTAGTTTACTAAATCCTGTAATCCACTATGGCAGGGTTCATGCTACTATATATCAGGAAAGAATTGCCGTTAAGAAGTTATTAATCTTTGAAACGGATATCCCGACTTATGAAACCCACTACCAACCCGGGAAGTTCAAAAAGGCAAAGCTGTATTTATTTTCGAGATTGTATATTAATTCCAAAGCAATGGCAATCAATTAACATACGACCATCGTTGGGCGAAATATAATGATGGAAGTGTTCGTGTGGAGCATCGAAAGGTCACAATAAACACCACAACAATATTAACAGACAGAATAAATAAAAATAGAAGGTTAGATTAGATTGCTTTCCTTAGTGAGTCATTACAGTGTTCCTTGGAAAATATTTAATATACTATTGTCGAAATGGTTCGTAGGCAATAACGTTCAAATTTGCAGAGAAAATGGAATGCGTTGCCCTGAATGGAATTTCCAAATACAATGGGAACTTGTATACATATTCTACAAATTGCATTCCATGCAGTTTTGCTCCCATTTTGAGATATATTTCATGCGTTTATTAAAAAAAAATTCTGAGCTGCAATAGTGCGTATATCATTATACACAAATTTGATATTCTATTTAGAAACAAAACACGGGGTTATTTCAATACTACTATACTCGAAACAAACGGTGACGGAATTTCGGTAACTATCTCTTACCTGTCCACAGTAATGTCCTGAGATATATTTTTAGCCCATGAAACTGGATTTCCACCATCAGCAGATGGGATACGATGTATCCATGAACGGGATCTGCACCTGTCGAGATAAAATGAAAAATATTGAACATAATTGATTGAGAAGTGATAAACAATAACTTTTATTTGAAATATTTATCAGAATGATCGACATTTTTGATAAACTTACAAAAAACAAGATCATTTTTTTTCTTTTAAGCCTTGGATCCAAACTTCACGAAAAGGTAATATTAGTATTACGTATTCTCGTACAGAGAGAGTATAATGCAAATCAGTATGAACCCAATTCACGTAGAACTTTGGACAGCTTTACAAAATCTTATGATTCAGAATAACGCATTTCCGTTTTTGTGGGAACTTTATTCAGGCACATCTTGCTTCGTAGACAATTCTACAAAATTGCTGACTTTGGGACCGACGGTCATGTACAAAAAATCACCGTTGGCCGACGATGTACCCATCGTCAATGGGATCATGAATCATAAATGAATTAATGATGAATTAGGCATACGACTGAATTTAAGCAGACAATCGATTAGGCAATTAAATTGTCAAAATATGAGATTTATTATTTTCTCTATACTCGTAGTTGTTGTCGTTATGTACGTATCATACAAGGGCAATGCGCGATGGTACACCAGTATTATATTTTGTGTGAGTGTAAAACCAAATATGATTCATTTAATTTTCATGAATTTTGCATTGACTTAGATCAAATCGATTTGTGAAAAAGTGTGACATACTTAAAAAATATTTTGTACTATTAATAAAGAGAAAATAATCACACATTTTCTTGATTTCATATATCGAAATCGCAAGTAAGTAAGTGACTCATCTATTACATGTGCTATGACGAATTATAACCCAATTTCGAACTGGATATCTCATGAACACCTCTGGGTATTAAGGGTTAGAACCCATTTCAACGCTGGTCACGTGAAACCACATAAAACATCAGGGTACTATTACAAAAAAATAACAATTTTATTAAACTTTTGGCCACTTTAAAACCATAGCAATCGGTCAGACTTAGACAGGTGGTAGTACATTTTTCGCTCAATAGCCTGTTCGACAAAATTTAGTGCGGGTAGGACAAGACCAATGTGGAATAATGCATCTTCGAAGATCTTCCCAAGCATCATACAATCAAGATTTTTTTTATCCTAGTATAAAACTTGCATACCTCAATAATATTCTTGTGTATCCAGACTCCGCGATAGCCGAGTCCTCGTGTTTCACAGACATTACCAGAGGTCCAAGGTGATCGTCGTACGCAAATAAGTTGACATGTTCCTTCGAAGGGAAAAACAAAATTGTTAAATTGTTGAGCAAATTAACATGCCAGATTAGTTGTGTCATATAAAATAATTGAACTGATGCGGTTGGGCAAAACAAGATATTCATGCATATATGAGCCACATTGGGATTACCCAATCAGCAGGTGAATAATTTCGTGTGTAATTTGTTGGAAATTGCAAAAACCTGTAGAATTTCAAGTAATTTATGTAAATATATCCCGAAAATTAGTCTTCCATATGTGACAATAAAATATGAAATAAACGCTTAGTTTTTCTTAGATCTATTAACTAGAAAGTGGTACACAGATCATTATACAGTTTGGTGGTTTATGCAAATTAGTAGAAAGGCGTTCTGTGCTTGGATTGAGAATAGACAGCAACCACCATATAAGGTCAACCATGGCGTCTGGATTCTGTATTTAGTCACATGGTGTTCTATATTCGTGCTATGATTACCTAGAAATCAGCACTCTTGACCTCTTTATGTAAACTTATCAAGAATAGTCAACCAGACAGACATTGTATTAAATTTTGAGGCGCTTCCGCGACTATTTGAACAAATTAGATAATATACATTATAAACGAAGAGCTTATTTCAATTCAAACATTCAACACTTTTTCATTTTCAACAATCAATATTGTGTATAATCTTTTGTTTTGTCACCTGCATGTTGAATCGAAAGTAAGTAGTTGTGCTATAAATACACTTTCGATCGTTTTTGTCATTTTCATACAAAATTATTTAAATAATATTCGATCTTCAAACATGATTTAACTATTTATAGAAATGGAACTAATTTTTGTCAATTGTAAATTAAAACACATTGCAACACAGCCCATTGTGATGGCGATTACGACTAAAGAAGTTTGTCGGGATTTCATAGCGAGTTTGGCCTGAAATTTTTGTATTTGTGCTAGTATTATTAATTAATTTGAGCCCACGAAGTCGGGCCTTTGTAGGCCCAACGCACTAAGCACCCACTGAACTGGCCGAATAGCAAGTGCTATTACTCCGTTTAAAACTTTATGAAGCAACATACTTTTCCTAAAAAGTGTCTCCTATAAGAGGTAATGATTTCTTCTCTTTCAGTTGTTAATTTATCTGTGTACGGTAACATCGGTTCTTTTGCAACATCCATGTCCAAATGAGGCGAGTCTGGATGAAATCCTTGAGCCCAGTATCCTCCATGAGGCGGAGGGATAACTTGTGGGTAAGGCAGTCCTTTACGTAAGACTTCTTGTATGGAAGGATAAAGGGGAGCTTCCACCTGAAAAATTAAGCGACACGTCGATAAAGATTAGTCTGAACGTGTTTTTAATACAATATTCAGTCCAATCCTCTGTGAAACTGCATTTTTACCAAGAATGACAGGAAATTAAACGTCAAAAATGCCGACAAAACCAGCTATAAAATTCTTTTGCACAAATTTCTCCCAATTTATTTGAATTGACGTCAGGGTTCTATCGTAGTAAACAAGTTTTTCGTTGTAAACTGAATAGCCACAACGGTGTTAAATTGTATAACACCGGAAACCCATCATATTTGAATGGAAATGGAAATTTTGCCTCGTGAATGGACTTCGTATTGCTGATGGGGCGGTCATTTCTGACAACTATACATCAAGCATGGGCAAGTATATATGGATTGCGGAGCTCGTAAATATCATCAATCATACTTGATGATTAGTTTTTATATTGATGAGGAAAAACCGAAAATCGATGAATTTCTTTTGATCTGGGGATATTCAGCGAAATTGGTTGATTCGAAACAATATCTTTCAGGGTAAAAAGTCGAAACACGAAAGTAGTGGTATTTTTTTAACGGTAACATATTTCATTGAAATCAAGAGAAATCATGTTAATCATAATTTTTCTGTAAAAAACGTTTATATTGTTCACAATTTAAAGTAATTGCAAGGAAGAATCTTAAACACGGTAACTTTTAGAAATATTTTCGGTTAATTACCGAGGTAAAGTCAATATGCTTATCACACCAAAAATTACGTAAACGAAATATAAAAATAAAACGCTCGATGTGTTTTTACCCAGTCACGATCACAATATCATAATGTACCATATGCATGACATTTTATGACATATGCCGTCACAATGCTAATGCTTGAATATTGCGTTGTGACGTGTAATAAACCTGCCGTCACAACGTGGAGAGAAATAATAGAATAAATATAAGGAAATGACGTCAAAGAAAGAATTGAAAATATTGTAGTAATAGCGGAGATGAAGCGTTGACAAAAGCTATGATATTGTTGGTTGCCTGAATATGTTTCATACAAAGTTATAGGCAAGTGTTATGAAACATAGATATGTACGTAATTTCGTACGCATATGCTTTCAAATAAAACGTAGGTTAAATGCGTGAACAATAAAGAATGTCCCTAAGACGACCCAGGAAAATGTTAATATTCAAATCAATCTGAAGTACGCAGCTTGTAAACAATAAGGACTGTGATTTATTTTGTTGGTAGTATTTTCAAACGACTTTCAAGATGTTGGACCAAATGATAATGTTTTGGAATTTGGTTCTCATGGTACATGATTACAATATTAAATATCGTTGTTTAATAACATATTGAACAATATGAATAATATTTTATTTTTATCGAGCAAATTTAGAACATACAACTTTTGAGTACACATTTCTGTCATAATTTTTATTCCATACATATTGAATTGTATTTTCAAGCATGTTGTAGGATTAACACAAAAGTTTGTTGACCATTGACACAAGTGCGGAGTGTGTATCGTGCCGTTACCTTCAGCTCGTGCCTTAGACGATATTATGACGCCACATTTTCGTTTTATGATGCCATATCTTTAAATCGCGACAACACGTTTCAACGTCATACGCCGAAACAAATTTCCCGTCCTGAGTAAACTACAAATTTGGGTTCAAAGTTTATTCATTTTTTATTAGATATATATCATATTATGTTTCTGATCAAACGTGTAACATACATAATCATTACAAACATATTACAAAGTGACCAACCTGTTTTTCCACAGGTACAGCAGGCATGTGAAGGGAACATCTTTGTTCATCAAGTCTGGTTCCCTATAAATACACAACAAATATACAACACATCACACAACAAGTGAGATACGTAGCATAATAATATGTTATTACGCAAATTAGTGTTAAGCAACATCACCAAAAATACAAATAAAACTACACGAAAATATATAGTGTAACATTTTGTAATATATATTTCAAAAGAAAGTCAAAACAAATTTTGAAATAGAATAGGAACACCATTCATTTTCGTGTGGAATTATAAACCAAATGTAAGATAATATCCTACAATAGATTGTGATCCCAGCATGCATTTCATCACGTATTAGCAATTGAAAGCAAAATCAAAACAATCGCGAAAAATGAACCCATGCATCCGGTTTTCAAACTGCGGTTTCTCGCAACAAAAGTTTCAATTATTAACCAGTGCTGTAGGGAAATCCACCTATAGTCGAATTCAGTTTGATTTTGTTTACACATATAACATATGATCAAAACAAAACAAAGTCTTCTAGTGGAAATTTCGCCTTTTACCAGCCTTGGTCAATAAATGTACATTAAACCAATTCAATCATCATAATAATCTTACTCAATATTGACGTAGAGGGATTAATTTCAAGACTAATAATTTTTTAATTCTGATCCTAATGCGTTTCTTAATTAGATTATCTATGCAGCATATTGGTTAAAGCATTATCAAATGGAAACATAGTCGGGTTGATATACACGCATGCTAATAATTACAGCAAAATGTATCCAGAAAAAATTCAGAAAAAGTTCAGTAATGATGTCTTGAATATATATGTAATTTTGCAAAATCAAAATGCATTGTTCAAAAACAAAAAACACTATATCGAAAGTCAGAAAGAAAATGAACTTTCAAAATTCATTAAATTTCCCATAAGGATTGAATGAACAAAAGTAACAGAATGCAAAAGATGACAACGTGTAAATTTGTCTGCGCGGCGGAAAATATCGTCCTCCATCATTACAAACAGTTACATATAGAGATGGATACATAGTCTCAATCGTAATTTGAATGGCCTCCTCGGCAGAGGGCTATTGACTTGCCAAGTAGACAGCGGGCTTGATTCTAAGGGCAGATACGCCAAACAGGAATCCGATATACATCCAGCATTAGTGAGGTCTGTGGGTAGGCTATTTAACGTTCGTGAACCATCATTTGATAGAACTGAATTACACCTTTCAATCAGTAAGTCAATCAGCAAGTCAACCTACGCGAAAGGCGGATGTGAGTTTTCCTCCTAGGACTAATATCATCAATTATGCATGGAATATTATGTCGTCGCTATCGAGGCAAGTCGTCAAAACGCGTCGAACGCCATATGCACACCGATAGTTCCGTTTCATGATCCATTACGTCACCACGCAATGGCGTAAGTATGAAATTTACGTCAAGCTTGGGCCAGGATACTACGCGTCATCTTGGTGTGTTTACTTCTGATTCAAGCTCGAATGAAAATAGAGCAATAAGAAAAACCATTACGCATGCCCCAATTTGGATGTAGGTTGCGATATGCTAATAGTCTGCGAAGGGTAATCAGCAAAGTGTTTCGGGTAAGTATGGAGAATTTCGATTCGCGATTTGGTGGTATGCTATTATAGCAATAATACCTAAAAAAAGAACCGCTTTTATGGAATACTCGAATCTGCAAAATCAGACTTGCACGTCACGGCAAATGAAGACGGCATTACACATAAAAACTCATAACTGAACTAAACTTCATCGCATGATACTGAGTAGAGTTAACAAATTTACTCGGTAATGAACCTTCACAAAAACACAATTATCAAAACTTACAAACGTTATAACAGGCGGGTTATGGTGCCTCCTATACCCTTTGGTGTTTTTTCTTGCCGCCCGAATCATGCTTTCAAACTTTCTAGTGGTTTCCTTAACCAAGCTCGGCATCGATTCGTTTGGGCTTATCGGAGATCGCTCCTTTCTGTAGATTAGACGTTTGTATCGGAAAATCTACTGCGAGTGAGTGACACAAAATCGATTATCCGATATTCAGAGCAAAAATTCATTCAGCTACCAGACCGACGTTAGATATCTCGTCGATAAGGTAGAATAATCCATATTGCTGGTACGAGTTGACTAAAATGTGGTACGAGTCATTCGAAAAACTTTGACGATTTTATGACAAATTCTAACATAATTTCTACATTTTACTATATGGTAATGAACTGGGAAATAATAGCGATTAGAAATTTCAGCCTAAACTGGAATAAATTAAGGTATAAATTAGCTAATGCTCATCGCTATCTCTCCATAATGACGAGAATGTGCATATTTCAATTGGAATAGCGAGACGGGTGCGAATAAATATACTCATCTTATTGGGAAAGTGTGCCAACCTAACCAACCTTGTTAATTTTTGTTGTCTCTGTGGATTGAAATTTATTGAAATTATTTAATAACAAAGCCAAACCTGCTTCCTTGCAACACCATGCAATTTCAGTCCACACCATGAATCGAAATGACAAACAGAAAACGACCTCTCGCTGTCCCAATCTCACTGACAAGATTGGTTACTCAACATTGCGCTTAACACCCTATCTGTCAAGTAATCTCATTTCCTCGTGAAAATAAGCCTCATTTATCAAATTTGGATATAAACTTAATATCAGAATATTATTTATAAATTTCACTGACAACGCCCGTTTCACTAACTTTGAAGTGCACTTCATAGTTTCTAACAATATCCTGGTAACATGTTGTCGTCCATGACCACTTCGTTCGCTCAATATTGGCTAGAAGCGTGGTTTTCTAATCGATTTGTACAGCGCTTATTACAGAGTAAAATTGATCATCAGATTTTACTACGTCCAACACTCGGCCATATGTAACCGGTGTTTAGGTTCAAAGAGAATAACTAAGTAACCATATACTGGGTTAGAAATATTTTTCTATATCATACATGACCTGGTATGGTACCTAATTGGGAGCGTAAATTATCTAGATATCATGTTTGAGTGCCGTCACTCATGGAGCGGATAAACCTGTCAAGCCTGAACAAACAATCTATACAAGCTTTACGTTATTCGATGCGAGATCGATTTTCTAACGAACGGCATTGCACCCGGAAGGCGTTTTCAACTTGATTTATAAACGGCAGGAGACTTTGTTAGTTTTATTACTATAATTAGAGTCGTAATTTAGTGAAATGGAATCCACCCATCAAAAATTAGAAATTTAATGTCGGTGAGACGCCCTTGAATAAAATAATTTGTTCCATGGAAATGATACGATTGTATGTAGGTTTCCACAACAAAACAGTTAATAGAAATTTTTAAACTTTCTGATAGACCATTTCTGCTCATTCGAACAAAAAATTTGCATAAATTGCATTATATATGGGCGTTCAATCACCCGTTAGAATGGGTGTATTAATAATAATATCCGAAAGTTCTGATTACCGATTTGATCAAATTTCTTAAGCAACGTACTCTGATTTGTCAAACCTCGTTGAAATCCAAGGAGTGCGCATTGTAGAACAAATTTCCTGCTTCGATTCAATCTGCCTCGGCGTTTCACATTTTTCCTACAGATTTGAAATGAATCCTGTCCTACAGACCCAAAACTATATCTATGTACAGTACAGAATAACATTTACCATTAAAACAATACGCTTGCAATCATATTTTCAAATCATGTTTCGACGCAGTACTGACCTCAATTCTTATTCCATTTACAATGCTCAACACTGTTAACTGAAATGTAATACTGTCATTCTCTCGAACAATAATGCAAAATAAATCCTTGTCACATGGTTATCAAATTGCTTTCCGTCAGTAAATAATCCTTTATAATACGCCTTTCCTTTCCTCGAGCCTTCTGGGAGAAGTCATATTCATAAAACAACCTTTCGTAGCCGAAGATGACTATGTTTTAGTAGTTTCTCAGGCGGCAGAAATTGAAACCTCATGGAACATTTGTGGTTAACGCACTTTCCCGTGCGCGTATTTTTGACCCATTCATCAAAATTCGAACGATTTTCGAGAGACATTTTAACCTACTCATTCATTCATAAGCTTACTGCTTTCCAACATAAATCAACGTTGTTGCCAATTTCAATCATGATTTATATATACTTGACTGCTATTTAGCTACATTTCTAGTAAAAATTATATTCCTTCATCGTGAACGTTTGCGAATAGTAACACAATTACAGTCAGCAATACAGGGGAAATAAATGACGACTCAAATTTCACTTCCTCTAGCAAGGGTTCTTTATTCATAGCCTGCAGTCCTGCACTCACTGAAATTCGATTGTGTATTCTAAAGCTCTAAACGCACTGTGTCTCCCTTTGACTAACAGACTATTCATGACAATACTGCTTACATGCGACCACGGACCCTTCGATAACAGCGTGATGCAAGTGATATGGAGTGCGGTGTCCCGCGTCATAAAACCTTCGCTTACTCATTTCCGGGTGATTGGAATCATTGGCGTTTTGATCGAGAAATAATATGCATATTAGCTCGGGCCATAAGTGAATATTATTGTATTTATTACGACGATTTATCCTTTATTTTACACTAAGTATATAATCGGTGAGAAAAAATGCGCTATTCTGAAACTTTTGATAACACTTTCCAAGTACATCTGAGTAATATCAACAATACAGCCGAGTTGTATTACTCCATTGGTGACTCGACAAGAGCTGTTACTAATGCTTCTTAATATTCACTCATAACAAGTGACAAAACAATTCGCACAACATTTAGTCATCACATTAAAAGCTTCGAAAATATCACCAGATTGATAAACCATGTCGTGGTCTCGTCGGAGCTATAGCATATACTTACTGCCTCAATTTTAATTTGCCACTCTTTCTCGTATCAGAAATCGCCAAAGCTAACATGCATATTATTTTTTTATGTTGTGGAATATTTTGCGTATATCTAAAACCCTTAGACGAATATCAGAATATTTACGAATGCTTTAAATATGATATATTGCATACGTCCTTGGCTGACCACTCCGATAACTGCACTCCATACACAATGTGAATGTCTTCTGTTTTCTGCTGCATTCTATCATCTCATCATGAATATTCTATATCTGTAATGTCATACCATTGTTCTACAGACTTAAACAATCCTGTTCAAGTATCCAACTATAGCGAGAAACCCTCACGACTTCAAGCTACAGGGTTTTATTCAACGTGACGTATCGATGCGTCACCGCGTTATGCTCAATATTGCTTTCGGTATACCAAGGACCTACACCACAGTTTACTGTTTTATGTTGCCCGCTATAAAGCTATACCAGGAAGTGACGAAATTGCATGTTGCAGTTATGTTATACAACTTTCTCTCGTATACATATGCGAGGCTTCAAACGAGAGAAACTTTGAACATAGTTTCATGTGGTTATCAAATTTAGTTTGTTGTTCGAGTTAACCGCGAAAAAGTAAAGATTGAATTAAGAATAAATTGACGTTTTTGTTTATCGAAATTTTTGTTCATTATCACCAAGCAGACAAATTTACTAAATCATCAAGTGAAATTACTCACTATTTCCAGAATATTTTGCCAATTGTATTGCAATGTACATATAATTGCAGTCATTCAAATCGAATTAAATTTTAGATCGAATTACTACAAATTTCCATAATAATTTCCGTATTTGTTTCCAACTATCTTTATAGGGATTCACGGTGAATTCCCATTCAAATTTGTTGTATTTTTTTAGTCAATTTTAAATCAATTTTTCTTGGTTACATATATCTTCTGGTGTATGCGCATATATACCAGATGCTCGTTATAACTTTGTTTACAATAACTGGCAAAAATGTTTATAAATTTTGGTAACCGATATATACGCATTAAGTATCCAACGTTACAAAGGAATGAAGAATATAAAACGCAGTGATGTGCACGACGGATCTTTTAATCTAATTTTTTCATGAGATGCCTCACGTCTGTGACACGCTTCAAATAGAGCGATATGTTGAGAGTGGCCATGTTTTCACCAAGATTGAAATATAATTATCTGTGTTTATGATCCCAATTTGTCATTTGGGTAATTATCAGTTGGGCGCAAGAATAATTCCTATATTCAATCTATGCCACCGATGGATTCGTATGCGTATACTGCAAGGAATGCTGTAGCAGGAACAAAGATGACTGACTATTTCGGAAAGTATAAAAATAAAAAAAGGGTCGGGCGATATCGTGATTTACATAATTGGACAAATTATTATTCAGCTACTAGACTGGCATGAAGTAAAATTAAAGGTTACAGGTCACCTCTGGGAAAACTTAAGTCGACCGCCGCCGGTAAATTATTTATTGATTGTGTGCATATGGCGGTCTTAATATTCTCCATTCATAAAAATATTTGATGTTGCGTTCAGCCATGCTTATTTTGATGATATATTGAACAAAATTAGTGTGACTTATCCAACGGTTAACTCTGGCCTGGCGTGGTTCAAAAATAGATAAATAAATGGGTTGAGCGAAGATAATCAATCGTTCTGATTATATACATCCGGTTGGCATATTTGTCTAAAATTTTATTTTCTTAGTAATCAATATTCAAACACAAGCCGAAGATGTGAAGCGTGAGATTTATCGCTGCAGAAAGGTTAAATATACTAAAATAAATAAAAAAAATTAAGCTAGTAATGCGAACATTGTGCCACCCGGTCGCAAATTTATGCGTTAGCGAATAAGAGTAATTATGACGTTAGTCTCTACTAAACGATATGTCCACTTGTCATAAATGTATATTACATAAAAGGTTTTTGATAACGTAATATACTGATAAAAGGAGGTAATACTGGCCAGGCACAGTGCAAATCATATTTCAAATGAAGGAAACGCACCAAAATATAAGAGTTAGTTGAAGCTAAAAATATAAATAGTGTAATATGCATGCAAATTAAATCCACTCCGAACAAAAAAAGTAAAATAAACGAAGAAATGAAATGAGTGAAATCCGAAAGAGAGATGCTTGAAATTTGCAATTCCGAAGGACTAAAATGGAAATATATTTCATTGTCAAAGCATGTTTTTTTCTTACCTGTACTTTTTCGAGCATAGCGAAAAGATCGTCTGCCTGACATGGTGAATAAAAACAAAAAAATACTTAGACACATTACGATAGACAACAAGAAATAAGCAGGTCATTTCATCATATTTATTCCTTTGCCATATGAATAAATACATTACGAGAGCCAAAATATTGAAGAGGTAATAATCAAGGGGGCTTACATATTCAGGATATCAAAGATTTTAAGAAAACGATTTAGGATCAAAAGAAGGTTTACAATTTTATAAGTGTTAATAAATATGATTTAAAAGGAGATTTTGACAAATTATAAAGCAAATATGAATGTGGTTTTGCATTATTTTATTTTCCATCATAAATATGATGATATGACCTGTCATTTCTAACGATAAGCGGAAGAAAAACATTTAAAACAAAGTGCCGTTGATTTTGTCTGTGTTGTGATTCGTCTGATCGAGTGGTCAATTGTCAATAAACAAACACCGACATATCCACGCACACCGACACTGTTAGACAAAGTGTGTATAATACACTTGTAAATCACAGTGAATTAGACGTCCATCTGAGTGACTGTGAATTACAAATGAATTCCACATACTTCTTTTTACATCAAACGCCCAACAAAACACTTCAAATTTGGGCGTACATGCATTATTGTTATTCCTATTATTATTTATAATGAGGTTATATACTGCCGGTATTGATGAATTTTGTGCTGCGCTCACCAAAAATTAGAATTATTGATTGTGATTCACAAAAGCAATATTTTTAAGTTTGCTAGGCGCGTGAGTAGTGGGCCACCTTCATGGTATGATTAAATATGCTTTTCTCCACATATTAGATTATATTGATTCATTTCAGCTAATATACAACAAAGCAAAACATTGTAAATAATTTTGGACGTCATTGTTCACTATCTAACAAGATATTATTTCGTAAATTATAATAATTGAGTAAATTGGAAGTAATAACTATGAAGGACTATAACTAAAAGCAAATGGATTTTGAAACTACATGCACTAACTGCACGTGCGTAATTATTGGACCATAGTTCTTTTATTATACAAAGAAAACTATTTACAACTATTCGATTCAGCCTGCTAAATTGAGTTGCAGGATTGATACAACTATGCTACGTTCTAGTGATATTTGACTGTCACTGAGAATGTATATATATAAATTTTAAATTTATTTACCTTGAAGCTGTCATGCGATTGCTTGCCTTCAGTCATTGCTTCGTTTTGAGTGCAAGGTTCGCATGCAACGCCGCCCTCTGTGTCCCTCCTGTGAAAACAAAATGTGACGTCACATTTCAATGCATAGGAAATACAGAACACGCGGTGGCGCAAAAGACAAAAATATAGCGACTGGTAAGTGAATATGATAACGCTACTCCCTTACTCCAACTAGTGGAAAGAGAGATCATAACAATAAAGTGACGGATTGAAAAAACTGTAGATCATACTGCATTAAATAAATTGAGAATGGCTGATGATTATCACAACCAGTTGGTATATCATAACTTGAGTAATCCATTATATTAGATGTTATTTTATAGCCTGAGTAAATAAAATATTAATATAATACAAAGCATATCTTCCGTATATATAAAGTACATCTAACATCTTCCAACTAATATCAAATTCACCCTATCAACACAACACAGAACTCTTTACACGACTATTTCGTTTTCTACACTCCAGTAAGACATCCAAAATACCTTCCACATTGGTCTGTCATATGTGTGGCAAGTGCCGCCGCCGCAGCCGCCTTTTCCGCCATTTTTGCTTTAGGTACTGCATGCTTTTGCAAAGTTCCGATAAACCGTGCCGTTATTTTAAACGTGTTTCGTTTAATTGGCATATCGTCGTCGATATCTTCCTCCCCAATGCTATCACTTTTATCCAATAGATCAGGGGAGGATTCGCTGGCCGATACAGCACAGCGTCTATGTCCAAGTCGCGCTATAGGCGGAAGAGCATTTTCAGCTCCGACAAAGCTCTTTACAGCCCGCCTAGCAGCCAATGGATTGTGTATCCGTAATCCTCCTTTTGCAGCACCTAACGTTTCTTGACTGTTGTTCGATAGCGTCCGTGCAATAATTTTATGATGTCTTCCTCTTGACGGATATGTCACCAATCTGCTTCTCTTCTGTCCGATGTCCGAGCTTCTCAAATAAGGTAATTTAGTAATGCGTGGTGGTGTTTATGCCAGAGAAGGAGAAAATCGAAGTCAGCCAATTAGACAGTAACCAAATTAATAAATGTTTTCAAAATAAAAATTATAATAAACAAAATGAGACCCCATGGGAAGACAATACAATGCAACGCAAAATCGAAAACAGACCAATTACTAATTGACCACGAAGAGCGTAGAATTAACCTAAGATTGATATGAAGATGATTTTAATATTCCTATTCAAGTTACTTGCTCTGGCACGATTTTCGTTACTGCACTACAGCATACCAAAATCTGTTATTCACAATATCGCTACATTGTACATTAATAATATATTAGAAGTATGTGATGATTTATTGCAACTAAAGCTTTCAGTAATTTAGACTTTATAGCACACAAAATCTGTCTATAAAAATATATTATATTGAAACATAATCGCACGAATAGTTTTCGAAAATAGAGAAATTTTGTGACTTACTGCAAGACTAACCGTGTTAGCTGATAAACCTAATTTTCAAACACACTCAATAAACTAAGTAACGCGGAAAATTAGTTATACACCTGTGGTTTATACTAATTTTCTAACTATTAGTTTTTCTGATCCACCGCATATGAAGCAGCAAAGCCTCTCAAAGACAACATTCTACCACTAATCCTCACGAGTCGATTTGCTAAGTCGGTCTGAAGGGAGAAAGAAGGGAAAGCTACAAAGATAAATACAACTACGATATCGGCTTTACCGTTCTATGTGGGTAAACTAATAGGCGACAAATCACACTGTCAATTTTTTCTAATAAGCCGCAACCGCTAATGAATAGCTACAATCAACCGCACTGCTTGATATGTAATTCTCCCGCGGTGCTGTTTTGACACCTTTTCACGTCTTTGGGAATTAGCGTCAAGTATGATCCGTGCGTACACAGCTCTATACGTGTTTCAATTATCGTTGGCCCTCATCTATCCTGGTATAACGACGTTACTGGTTGACGTCATCATGTTAACCCAGCCATACATGGATGCCAGTATTATATTGCGTCGCTCGATAGGTCGTAAGGGATTTGATGATACATTTAATGTCTTTCCCACAAATTAGTAAACAGCTGAGTTCACGTTGGGTGATAACAGCTACATTTCCCTGGTATGTTTTCTTTACGACGCGTTAGTCCAAGTTTGAAGACTAGTTTTTGGCTTGACAAGTTTGAAAAATATGACACTGAAATATGTAAGTTAGTATTATTTTGATAATATCAAGAGGAATGTACATACTATTACTCAAAGCAGACAAAACGATACTACACCATTAGCTCATTTATCGCCATTATCCAGTTATATCAGATACACAGAAAATTATTCAAATAGGAAGTCTTAACACAACGTACAGCATTGTACGTGATTGGCAGTACACATCTTGTGTAGTCGCTCTAACAATTAAATCCACTGTCTACGTCGTAGCCCAATAGCCCAATAGCCCTCTATGGATGAGAACATTCAGATTAAGATCGGGCCACATTTTTAATCCTACTCCTAACCAAGAGAGTAATTATTGCTTTATTGCTACCTATATCAATATTGTCAGAATATTGACAACAACTGTAATACGCTTTGAATGCTGTTTATACAATAACCACTCGAGGATATATTTTTTATCACTAAATACATCGTATTAAAAACTTTTAATTCGTTCTAAATTTGAGAAATATTGACGCAATAGTTTGTCATTGACTAACTAAACCACAGCAAAAACTACGATGCAAAGAAGTATACTGAACAAGATACATTATTAGATCTACAGTATGCGCGTGTTGTTATTAATACCTAAATCCCAGATGCTGCATTTGACAACTTATTATTTATTATCCATCTAATTAGTGCGTAAAAAAATTCCATCCAGTTCCTCTCGGAGAGGAACAGGCTGTCACAAATATATTACCAATAACAAAAATTGAATTTTTCCTAATAGAATTATCCTAGAAAACAAATTTTTACTTAATTTTATCGATTTAATTTACTTCCGTGCCCGAGCCGAGCGAGCGAGCATAAAACAGCGTCTTCACCTGAACCATTTTGGCAATCGCCAGGTACGAATACAAACGAATACCAGTATGTGGAATACGTTTGGTCAAAGAGAAATCCCATTGAAAGGATTGTCGGCAGAGCGCACCGTTGTTAATTTTTAACGAACGTCTATCGTCTATTATTCACAAATGTGCGAATAGGCGGAATAACGAAGTGCGTTGGCGTAAATGGAGCGAAATCGTATTTATTCTCTACAATTTGTATTATTAAAGAAAAGAAGCTTAACAATGCATCGCACTATGAGTCAATTAATATTATAAAAGGCTAAATTTGGATTTCGCAGACCGTCAGTTCGGCAAACATCACGGTTTCGACGGTAAATCAATAAAACGGAATATATGCTAATGTTAATTATGTTGGTTAATCGATATTTACAACTAACTTCGTGTTATATTACCGGTGTTACGGAATTAATGTTAGATCAATGTTACTGACCGCTATCTGTGTCCATATGAAAGCTTTAAAATTACCTTAATTAAATGATCATAAATAAATTAGGTTAGGGTAAAGGTGTTGCTATGTTGATTAATAAATAAAAAGCATAGCTTTCATCGATTCCAAAATGATTTCTAGGATTCATATGCCGAAGTAAGAGCTATAGCTCTAACAAGTATACAGAATTACCCTAATTTATATAAAGCCGTTTCCTTCGTTCTAAACGAGTACAATATTTGCGATTTGAAATTTTTATTCAGCGAGAAAACGTCAAAGTTTGAGAGTAAAACAATCAGTGAATCTAATTTTAATTTCACAAAATCTGTCAGGGAGTTTCTGTATATCAATTTCTTAAAGATATTACCAATTCGATTACCAATTTCTTAAGGATATTATTGTATAGTATATGACATGCGAAATTGTCTTCACGATATTAATATTCAAAATACAGAGATCCCTAAGACACCCTGCTAAACCCCTAATAACAGATAAGCAGAGTAACAAATTGCGATATTATCTAGAGCGGTGATTTTTGCTATGTGATGAGTGCTATGTCAGTTAATAGCTGGTGCAAATAATGCGAAAATCATTCCCTCGTGGTTTAGCAATACTGCCAGTTACAAAAAAACTCTCTCGAGTGATAGTGATTGAAATTTCTGCCTAATAAACCACAGATAAAAAAATGACCTTAACAACCAAAATACGCATAAATCTGAATCTGAACTAAGTCAAATTCAGAAACCAACTACCTAATCCTAACCGTTACAAACAACAATGATACGTTCTTCCATTTTGCAAAATATCACTACAATACCAGGAAGACGTAGGCTTATCATAATAACACATCATTACAGTTTGATAGATATATAGGTAGGCAGAACTACCTACCAGTGGTAGACTAGTGGGTTGGTATGTAGATAGTACAAAATGGTACGCTTTTCAAGCATGGGTAGTTATCCTAGAAAACAAGAAATCAAAATTTCGAAAATCACCATAATTTTATAGGATCTAGCTATGAGGTAATTTGAAATGGATCCAATTTTGTTTTGCGATTGTATCTACTAACGTGAGTATAGATATTTATTCCAAAAACGAGCGCTTAGAGCCCTACTCACGAACGTCACATCTTTTGTAATCATCGTTGTTATTCAACAAGATGTCAAAGTACCCGCCGCGAAGCTGATTAATTCGTTCCATTATGGTTTATTTGCATCTAAGATCTGACGGAAGTTCATGTATGCAGTTATTTTTGTACGCGTGTTATAAATATGAGTAAATACCCCTGGTCTACATGGAACTTCATTTATCAATGGTTTTAGTGATATAATCATTGATTTGAATAATTTTTAGTTAGATTAGGAGAAACCGTCTTGTAGTTAGCGATTAATTATTTTTATTACATTTTTCTCATAAAGGCTGACTTCGTTTTAGATTTTTAAACAAAGATTTTACAAAACAAAATGAAAGTATGAGAGAGAAGGTTTCCCAGCACTCACTTGAATTTGGCTTCATTGTTTAAAAACAATAGGGTCTTTTTTAGTTACATAAATGTTTTCCACTAGATAGACATTTTTTCATTCACTGCAATAAAATAC